TGTGTCGGGCACTTTGCAGGGTATGGGAGATCCATCAGAAAGAGAGACCCCAGGAGTCCCCACCGAGTTCGAGTTGACAGATGCTGTTGGCAGCAGCTCTCAAGAATGATTCACATTCTAAATATAACTTCTTGTAGTATATGGTGATTGGTGTGGAGGAGGCTCAGAACTCTAAATTCAGTATCTAAATTATTACATCGCTGTCGGATGGAGTAGAGCTCTGTAGAGAAAAATCTTGTTAGGAACCCGTGTGCCGATTTCACTCAGCAGCGTCTAATGCAGCCGTTCAGTTTGCGAGCCTCTCTGCGTTTTTCAGTTTCTTGCAAACCAGGACAATTGGCTAACATCAGTTGTGTGCAGTACTTGAAAATCACTGGCTGTGAGGGCCAACATTTCATTTTCCCATCTTAGAAGAATTGGTATGTCAGGAACTATTCCTATCTTGATTATTAATGAGAGTTTAGATGGAACTCCTAATAAAGAACTTTGCTTGGGTCATAGTTGGTTTCTGGTTCCTCTCGTATCGTCTGCTGCGTACCATGGTTTTATCTCCCGACTTCCTTTATGCTCCATGCACTCTAGACACTCTTCTGGACCGTTTGTAAGAACAAGCAGACCTCACGACCGAGCTTTCTTTTAACTCTGATAGTTCTTCTTCATAGCCTGACTCTGCCAGTCTCACTTTTCAGCAGTGCTCTTGCCCAAGCAGTGTCTGAATTAGTTTGCTAAGTACAATTATTTAACACCTAAAGGACCAGACCCACTCCCATCCTCCCCTGGGGTGCACAGCCCGGAGGTACCACCGTGTACATGAAGGAGCACACGGTGGATCGAGAAGGAGGAAGAAACGGCACGGACGCTGGGATTTACAGGTCCACACGGCGTCGGGAGAGAACACTAGTGACTAGGCTTTGATGGTGAGGCTGTGAATATTATCACTGTAAGAGGGAAAGTGCCATCAGGTTGCCATAATTCAGAGAACGTCTCATCTGTATTTTACATAAAATTCCACACTTTGGGTCAGCTTTTCCTGAGAGTTGCGGTTGTACTTAATGTAATTGTGTATTTTAATGTGGGTGATATCAGGTGCTTTCTACCTCTTTTAAAATCATTTATGGCCTTTTTTAGCCCCATGAGTTTTCTCTCCTTTTACTCCCTTAAATGGTAGCTGCGTTAGGAGCCTGTGATATGAGCGTTCAGGATGTCATTTGTATTTGCTGAGCTTTTCTAAAATTTCTTGTTCCTTGATTATTTACAAGTTTAACAAGCATTGAAGATCATCTTTTTAAGGTTTTTTTTGTTTATTCATTTTTGAGAGACAGAGCATGAGCAGGGGAGGGGCAGAGAGAGAGGGAAACGCAGAATCGGAGGCAGGCTCCGGGCTCTGAGCTGTCAGCCCGGGCTCGAACTGTCAGCTGTGAGATCATGATCTGAGCCGAAGTTGGACGCTCAAGCAACTGACCTAGTTGGTTAGGGAAACCTCACCAAGTAAGCCACTAAAGCACCCAGAAGACCACCTTTTTAAAGACTTACTGCTTACTGAATTTTTAAAAATACTGAATAGGAACTTAATACTGGAAAATAATTGAAAGTCTTATACTGTGGAGTATGTTGTCACTTAAAATGACTGCAGAAAAATTTTTGTTTTTAGACCACTGGGAAGAAATAACTATTTTTCGTGTATTTAGTATTTGTCTCTGAACCCTCTTAGTAATGTGGCACTGAAAGATTGTCAGACCCTTAGAGTTTTGATTTTGAGGAAGATTATCTTCCCTCTTTCCTAAAAAAAAATTTTTTTTAACATTCATTTTTGAGAGAGGGAGGGAGACAGAGCATGAGCAGGGGAGGGGCAGAGAGAGCGGGAGACACAGAATCCGAAGCAGCTCCAGGTTCCAGGCTGTCAGCGCAGAGCCTGACGCGGGGCTTGAACCCACAAACTGCGAGATCACTACCTGAGCCGAAGTCAGACACTTAACTGGCTGAGCCACTCAGGCGCCCCTTATCTTCCCTCTTATTTCAGGATTTTTTCTTCTTGAGAGTTCTTTTAAGTTTATCTATTTTGAGAGAGAGCACGCGTGTGCATCTGGGAGGGAGAAGCAGAGTATCCCCAGTAGGCTCCACACTGTCAGTGTTGGAGCCCAGTACAGGGCTCAGTGTCACAAACCTTGAGGTTGTGACCTGAGCCAAAATCAAGAGTTGGATGCTTAACCAACTGAGCCAACCAGGCGCCCCAGCATTCTTTCTTTTTTAAAATACTTTCCCACCATACGTGTTTTAAAAGTAGTCTGATCAGAGCTAATTTACGTAAGTCTTACCACTTTTTTTCCCCCTCAATAGTTCCTTATAGCAAAAGCTTTTGTTGAATTTGTTTGAGGGGGTGTTTTTCCTGCCGTCATTCTGAACCAAGTGAGAAATAGACAAAGGAGCCAGGCAGATGGACATCAAAATAGCTTTTATTTATTTATTTTGTTTAACAGAACTTTTGCAGGACATGACTTTAAGAGCCCAGCTTGAAGGGCTTAATAACCTTGAACGCCCAGACTAGAAAGCTTTCACCAGCCAATCGCGGGCAGTGCCGGGAAGCAAGGCGGCCGTGAACTCTCTGTCCCTGGAGAGGAAGTGCAGAGGAAGGGGCCGGGCTTTGCTCACAAAACCCCTCTTCCCAGCCTCACCCACCACACCAGTCCTCCAGTGAGGAGGCAGAGGCCACATGGAGAGCTGTACCCAAGGAGGCCTCTGTGGTTGGGAAGCTGACGCCAGAGCGGGAGACGCGGTAAAAGGCCTCCCGTCACAGAGAGGCTGGGGTGGCCTCAAGCCACGGCCGCCTCGGGTGTGGACGGCAGCCTCAGGGGCAGAACCAGGGCTACGGGGACAGTGCAAAGCGCTGAGAAGCTCACCCTGGCATGAACGAGACCTAAAACGGGCCCGGGAGCCCTTTCGGGCACGTTAGTACCTGATCGATTTTACTTCATTCCCTTACGCTGCATGTGTAAATTGGGGTTTTGTTGGTTGGTTATTTTGTTTAATTCTCAAAAATTAGAAGGAAGTTGGGGCTGAAATTTTAACCTTTCACACTTTGGGAGACAGTTGACAAAATGTGCCATGATAATTTTACTTCCATGGTATTATTATTAGGATCAAGAGAGGCCGTATACCATTGGGAACAAATCCACATGAAGGGGAAGGTACCAGGTAGTGGGCCCGGATCCCCAGTGATGAAGAGAGTTGATTTCCAGACACCAGCATCAGAGCCCACCTGTTCACATTCAGACTTTGGACAACAGGGTCCTGCCATTAGACTCCCCCTTGGCATTGACAGATTTCAGTGTGCTCCCCAAATTACACCCCGCCTTGTTTTCTCCTGGCTTCGCTGCACACCTGCTCAGCCCTGGCTTGCAGGCGCCCCAGACAGAGCCCGGGGCAGCTGTTTGTAATGGCCTTGGGCGGGGAGGGGCGCAAGCGGACCGGGCAGGGCCTGTGACTAAGAAAGGCAGACGGGCTTTTCACCTACAGATGTTTTAATGTGCTTAACATTATCCAATACTAGCAACCAAGATAGTCTAAATACCCCAGCAGGATCTGATTAGCTTTTTCAGATCACTGCCTTTATTTGCTGTTTGCAGAAAAGCTTAATCCAGTGCTCGAGATCAGACTTCCTGCTGTGCCCCTGGGCAGTTTTCGCTCATTCTCTGTGTCCACAGTGGCAGGAATTAGCGAGAAGATTCCTCCTCCTCCCGAATTAAAACTATAAAGTAGTAACTATAGTAGCAAGGGATAAAGAGAAGAAAGGAAACCCACGGGAAAAGAGAGGACTTTCTATTCATACTAAAGAGTTCCCTTTTTATATACACAAGAAGTTTTAATATGAATTCATAAATATTGACCTGCCTCTCAGTGCGTAGCTGAGGTTTTGTTAGGTTTTAGTTATAACTACTTTGCATTAGTGTGTTGTATTTTTTTAATTTTTTATCTTAATAACTCAAACTCCGTTTTACCAAAAGAAGTATTTACTATCCATCCTAGTGGCCTTGATTTATGTTTCTTCCTCCTTTTACTCGTGACATTTGAAAGAGAAATCCCACCACATCACTTTGAAAAAAAATAAATTTTAATTGGCTTTACTTCTGTGATATTCATACGCTTCCTCAAGACCTAAAGTCTGAACTCTGTGTAATTCACCTTATAATTTGCAATAAACTATATTAGAAATGCTTTGTCTTTAATGCACTTAGGACATTAGACGATGGGCTCACCTACTGCAGAAACGTTACCATAAATAACCCTTAGCAGAAAAAGAATGGTTTTTCCTTTAGACCTAATAATTACATTTACTTAAAAAATATCTTCACAGATTTTGAAATTTTCTAACATTCTGGGAATGCTCTACCTTCATAAAATATTAAGCTCACTTGAGGAAAAATATAGACAAACAGTGGTCTACAGTATACTTTGTGTTTTTATTTTATTTCTGATATCTTACTTGTTTATCTCCAGGCTTTGTTAGGCTTCTGGTGAGCATAAGGAATGTTTTCTTCCATGAGAGAACTGAAAAATCTTAGCTGTATGGCGTAGGCAGTCCTCTTAGGATGCAAGTAGAGACACTTGAGTAGACTCGGTAAGGGCGTGGCCAGGAGTCCCACCTCGCACTTTTCCCCCAAGTGTTCACAAATGACCCTAAACTTAGGTAAGTGGCCCCGGTATTTGTCTGTGAGAGGAGAGATTGGTTTCAGTCGTTTGGGGTGCTTTAACCAACACCTTGGCCTTAATGGGGATGTAATGGAAAAGCCGAGGTGCCGCATAATGCATAATTCAGCCTGTATCAGAAGGTTGTTTTTTTTTTTTTAATGTTTTATTTATTTCTAGGAGAGAGAGAGAGAGAGAGAGCGTGAGCAGGGGAGGGTCAGAGAGAGAGGGAGTCACAGACTGAAACAGGCTCCAGGCTCCGAGCTGGCAGTCAGCACAGAGCCCGACGCGGGGCTCGAACCCACGAACCGCGAGATCATGACCCAAGCGAAAGTCGGACGCTTAACCGACTAAGCCACCCAGGCGCCCCTCAGAAGGTTGTATTTTAATAGCAGTTCCTGCTTTCCCTCTTAATCTGGACAGGGGGTGAAAAGTGGGTGTGCACTTATGTGGGCGGGCGGGGGCGCTGGTTCACAAAGGTAGGTGGTGGGAATCGATGCGTTTCTTTTTTCCTTCAGCAGGGGAATATTTTCACAACACCTGATGGTTTTTGAATTTTGATTGACCTTTGATTGAGGCTGCTCTGCAGCGCTCAGGAGGAAGTAGTCGTAGCATTCTGGAACTTGGAAATAAATCTGGGGTAACAAACTCCCTCCCTGAGGGGGCCAATTTTTCTATATTCTTCCCACCATTTTTCTTCTTCATAAAGTTAACTTGTTCCTGAGATGAAATACAAATCCCTTTAACAGGTGTAATAATGTTGTATATTAGAACATAATGAAAGTTTTTATTTAATGACACGAGTGACTGGACTTCATAATAAAAGAGTTTTACGCCGCTCTTGGACATGCGTCAGGTGGGCCGTGCAGGCGATTTTAGGTTGAATATAAGCAGTTTTGTCTAAATGTACACTTTGGATGACACGTTTGGCACACAGTTGGACCACACTTGTTTTATCTTCCCACATTACACTACTAGTGAACTCAGTTTTTAAAATTCTGTTTGTAAGCTCTTATCTCTCCCCCCCACACTTTTTTTTCATTTTATTGCCTCTCAACAAATGAACCAATACCTAAAAATATTTTGGAGTTCCCAGTGTTTCCAGGGCAATCGTTTTACTGTAGCCTCTGTCTTATTTCACTCGCAACTCATCTGGTAAAGAAAGGGATTACTGCAGTAGTGAATTGCTACTTTGACACACCTCATTTTCTTTTTCTCAAAACCCCAAAGCTAATAGACCGGAGTGGAGCCTCAACTTTTTGGAAACATGCAACTCTGACTACTTGAAAATAGAATTGGTCTCTTTGTTTGGTGCATGAAAAACAAGGAGGAAGGCCGCCCGAGCCAGGTGTTTCTTGTTGGCAGCCTGCTGCCTAATGACCGGCTCCCAAAGAGCAGCTGCCTGCGAGTGGCCTTTGTCTTGCACTATTGTTGCAGCACACCCCTCGTTAATACACACGCTGCCCGGGGCAGACCCCGGGAATGACATCAACTTGCTTAGCGCAGGAACCTGCGGAACCTGACGCAGGGAGCGAGGTTGGCCTGCATCTGCCCGGCCGGCTAATTGTGAGCTCCCGCGCCCACGATTGGCTGTCCCTGCACTCGGTAATAGGTTAAGCAAAGACCTTGCTGTTCCATCTGTTCAACCATTCATTGTTCTGCCTGCCTGCCTGCAAGTCTGCGGCTGACACTGTGGTAAGGAGTTCCCGCTGAAGCTGCCACAGAAACCAGTGTCTCTGTATTTTCCTGCGCCCGTGAGTATCCGCGCTGCTTACTGCCTGCCTCCCAAGTTCAACTTGGCTGCATACTGAGAGTATTGACTTGAACTTTGTAGAAGATAGAATGCACCTTAAGCGAAAGCCTACAAGTTATTACAGAGTGCCGAAATACAAGGTCATTCTTTCTGTAAAATGCGTGCACCCGGTTTTTTGGCAGTTTTATATTCTAGGTTCCTATCAGTGATTACCACCTAGTGAGCATCTCCAGGGTGTGGCATGTGATCATTTGGCTTAAAGATACGTGATCACGTGTTCTGATATTTTGATAAACAATGAATTGGGATCCGATCTTGTCACATTCTTAAGTTCCTTAAAGTGTCACTGTCAGACTTAGCTGTAAACGGATAGTGAGATTCAATCGATTTTTCTCCTACTGTCGTAAACATCTAGCTTGGAGAGATGGACCGACGTACAGGTGGCTGTTTCAGACAGCGTGCTGTAAATATGATGACTTAAGTGGTCAGCTGCTCTGTCAGCAGTTTTTGATGGAAGCGTGTGGTTTCTGATTTCTCCCACCTCTTCCGCCTGCAGCAGTTTCAGATGTTGGGTTGGAGATGTCGGTCCAGGGACTGTTGCTTTCCGGAGTTGGGTAATGGGGCGAAGAGGAGGAGACAAAGACTTCCATCTATCAGTTGGGAGGGAAAGAAAGAGCATAAAGGGTTAAAAGGAGGTTTTCATTTCTACCACATGCCCTATTGTGTGAACATATGCATGAGTCTATTGAAAGTTTCGGAAGACGGGCAGGCCACCAGTTGCTGGTCTCCTGCAGCTCCAGTAGACATCTGTTGCCCCAGAGCATTAACCAATCTGTTCAAAGGGACATCCTTCCTTTGTTAGCTACAGGGATGCGGACAACAGCACTCAGCGAAACACAATGGTAATTAAATACACAGAGACCACAGCAGTGGGTATTTATTACATATTCATTATTTTATTTCCATTGTTCTCATAGTATTACCATTTGGATAACAACCAGAACCCACTTTACGACATTGTAATTTTACATTACAAACAAATAAATTGATTTCACAACTTTGTGGTCTAATATTCCAGATTACTATGAGGCTCTTTAGGATAAAACTTTTTTTTACTGGAATTGAGGTGAAGGATTATCCAAGTCATCTAACGAGAACTTTCAGAGAGCTCACCAAATGGGGGAATTCGTGTGTATACAGGACATTTCTAGTAAATAACCATTATATTATAAACCTGCTTTCAGCTAATAGAAAGTTTCTTTTTGACAATTAAAATAGTTACACTTCATCATCTATAAAATTAGCATGAAAATTTAGTTTCCAACCAATAATAATATTTGATTTTTAACCTATAAGGCCTTTGTCAAGGAAAGTTATTTCTGTGTCCATTATAGTAACTAGATGGAAGCTCTAGTTTTGTAAGTGTAGAAATCTGTGTTCAGACCATTATTTTTTGGCCCAGTGCTTTTTGTGTTCATGAGTTTAGTGTGTCAAGGCCAGTTAACAGTGGGTTCCTGATACAAAGCTTAAAAGTCAAGCCATATTTTTCATAGTTTTTTAATAACGATGGGAGTATACACACTGACCTGTGTTATGTGAGCAATTTGGTCTACACTGCTTCTTCCTGAACTGAGGAAAATTAGCCTTATTGGTTAATAATGGATTAATTTAAAGGTGATTTACATACATTTGCATTTGAGTAAATGCAAAACTTAAAAATCTAATAAATGATGTCGAATTAAGGAGGAAAACATTTTCTACCTTACATGTAATAAACCATGCAATGTTATCGAGGTCTTTGCTATTTTTTTCAACATGTTGATCATTTTTAAGGCACAGAATAAGAGTAAAGACCGTCTTCTGTTCTTTGTCCTAAGATTTCTTGTGATAATTCCTTGTAAGTTTTACACATGACATTAACAAGTACTGCATCCTATGAAAATAGTTTTCTCAGCTTTTAAATCTTAAGACTGGCATTCAAGTTTTTATTGAATGATTTCAAGATCATTTGTGGAAAAAATTGTAAGTGCTGTAGTAAGTCAAGTTAGTAAGTCAATCTTTCACTAACAACTGGGTATGGAAGCATTCAGAGATAAAGTTTTAAAAACCAAATGTTGACCATTTGATCAATACAAATAAGGTTATTTCAGATTTGGATTATGTAGCGAAGGTCTGTGTGGTTTTTAGGCCTGGTAACTGAACTCCTTTGCCCTTATTTGTATTATTTCATATTTAGTCTGTGGATTGATAGGAACGAAAAAATACTTAACTGCTTGTTTAGGAGAGATGACATTGGAGAACTCTCTCTGAAGTAACCAGTGAAATCTGGAACAGGAAGAGAGAGGCCTGTCAGTGTGGGGAAAAAGTTCAACTGGAATATTTTAAAAGAGAAAATTATTTTGCCTAACAAAATAGGATGCTAATTTTTTTTAAGTAGGGTAGATCAAGCTTACTCTTATCCTTAGTATTAAAAATCCTGTTAGCCCAGTTATTCTCAACTTTTTCTTTAAAGAGGATATATAAATTACATGAGAGATTACAAGTTAAAGGTGTGTGGTATTCACTAAACACATTTGTAGTCAGATGAGTTTTCTCTGGCTTAATATTACAAAAAGCAAACTATTGACAATCTTATTTTTCCCCGTTTTATCATCATAGCCATGTAACACAATTTATATAGTAGAGCAGATTTATACTGCATCATGAACACGTTTTTTATATTAGAGTGAAGTGTTATATATAGAAAGATTTAAATATTTGTTTAGGGTGGATCATTTATAGTTTAAAAAACCTTATAGTATTGGGTTTTGTTTCTTTGGAAAATGTGAAATTTTAAAAAATGTTTTATTTATTTCTGAGAAAGAGAGAGCGAGCGAGCAGGGGAGGGTCAGAGAGAGAGGGAGACACAGAATCCGAAACAGGCCCCAGGCTCTGAGCTGTCAGCACAGAACCCGACGCGGGGCTCAAACCCACGAACCCTGCGATCATGACCTGAGCCAAAGTCGGATGCTTAACCAACTGAGCCACCCAGGCGCCCCGGAAAATGGGAAAATTGAGAATAATTTCACTAACTCTTTAAACATAACATTTCATTTCCGTGTTCCCCAGTGGCCGTGTTTTTCATAAAGTATTCATCTTCTCTGAAACTGTCCAAAAGGCAGACGCTACTGCTCACTACTAAAAGAAGATTTCCTACTTCAAGCCGGGGCTTTGGTCAGTGAGTCACTACCATGAGGCATTACCCCACAGCAGCCCTCGTGCAGAACCCAAACTTTTCAGGGGAGCTCAGCAGCGGTGCACATTAAATGCACTTCCTGCAGTCAGAGCAGATTGCGGGGCTTACAGAACAATGACGTGGGAGCTTCCAGATTGGCTTGGCAGCTGCATTGTTCTCCGAGGGTAAACCAGACGCACTTAAGTCCCAGGCTCTTTTATAGGCTTTTGTTCATACCAAATTATTCTTCGACTGTGCTAGCATTCACGATGGCATGTTAAAGGAGCGCAGCTTAGCAACCAGCTTCTGGTTGCCAGGCAGCCTAGCTTCCAATAGGGTTTTCCTTGTTGAGGATACTTTTGGTGGGAGCGCCACGAAGGCCACGGTGCAGATTTTTCTTTTAACTGTATCCCTTCATTAGGATTCTGTTGTGATTTGTTACTTGCATTATGATGTCAGTATATTACAGTAGTTAATAAATCACTGAGTGTAAAGATGTGCTTTTAAAATGCCTTCCTTTAATTCTAAATAATTGGGCTCGTGCATATCCATATTAATAGAAAAAATGGAAATAGATACAGCTCAGAGCTCTCCTAAGGAGTGTTTCTTTTTATCAGTTGTGCCGTCCGGAGCCTGGAAAGCTTGGTGTTCGTTTAAGACTAATGAACACTCTGGTAATAAAACAGTGTTCTCTGTCTTTTCGAGGGAGAAAACCCAAAGACACTCCTGTAGAAGTGTGTAGGAGTTGCACACTGAAGAAATTTTAAGTGTGTGGTTATCAAGCTAAAGATTCCATGTTCTGTTCTCTGGTATTTACCATACTTGATAGAATTTATTTCTTTTGTAGAAATACTTCCCTCTCTAATAAGTTCACCAAGTATGCATTCAGATGTTTGACTTCTTAGAAGAACACTTCGCATTTTTCTCTTAACATTTGTATAATAGCTCCTTTCTAGTGTAAATAAGATGTTGAAGAGCTTTAGAATAAAGTGTTTTTACAATTTTCTTTTTCAGATAACTTAAATAGGTGTTTTATGACAGTCTCAAATTCAGCTACCCCTGCTTTACTAATCTCCCTGGATAGAACCCTGGAATTGCCTTAATAAGTAAATTTACAGCCCTTGCACGGAAGCACAAGAGCAGATAATTTTACTTTGCTCACCTGTTCCTGGCAGAGACCTAACAATGATTCCCAACAGACTTTAAGGAAAATTAGTAAAACAGCAAAAGCATTTTAAACAGTAAAGGCGTTCCTTGGGGTGGCCAGGGAGGCAGTAGTGGAAAGCATGACTTTTTAACCAAACGTGGATAATGGTTAACTAATTATCTGATAGAATACAGAAATATTTTCTTCCGTAAAATGCAGGAAATGAAGATAACGTTCAGTGTACTTAACTATATGCTGCTAAATTTATGAGAACGATTTCATTTCTGAGCTTTCTGTCAATGTGCACAGAATAAAAAAGAGCTCTCCCCCCCCCCCACCCCGCCGGTGTGAAGTAGATGGCAGTGTTCTTGACACTTAGTAAGGGCAGCGTATCATTAAGATTTGTATTTGTTACTAGGCTCCGTAGTCACAAAATAAAGATTGTTAGGACAAAACTATTCATGTAAACGGAGTAGAATTCACTTTGTAATTATGTCATTCTTTGTTGGCCGTTGTACAATTGTACTCTTTCAGCACACCACCTAAATTATTTTTGAAATGTCTCTAGATTTTTGTTAAGTTTGATCCAAACTAATGTCCATTTTTCTTTTTTTTTTTTAAATGTTTTATTTATTTCTAGGAGAGAGAGAGAGACAGCGTGAGCAGGGGAGGGTCAGAGAGAGAGGGAGTCACAGACNGCCCCGCGTCGGGCTCTGTGCTGACTGCCAGCTCAGAGCCTGGAGCCTGTTTCAGTCTGTGACTCCCTCTCTCTCTCTGACTCTCCCCTGCTCACGTTGTCTCTCTCTCTCTCTCTCCTAGAAGTGAATAAAACATTTAAAAAATAATAATAAATTAGATATTAAAGGTAGGAAAGCAAGGGTACTTTTATTAAAACTACCAAAGTAGACTTCTAAAAAAATTAGTTCTTGGGTGCCTGGGTGGCTCAGTGGGTTGAGTGTCTGACCTGGGCTCAGGTCATGATCTTATAGTTTATGGGTTTGAGCCCTGTGTTGGGCTCTGTGCTGATGGCTCAGGGCCTGGAGCCTGCTTCAAATTGTTTGTCTCCCTCTCTCTCTGCCCCTTCTTCGCACATGCGCCCTCTCCCCCTCCCCCCACTTGCTCTCTCAAAAACATTTAAAAAAATGTTTAAATTAGTTCTTTATATACCACCTTTGTGATTCTGAATTGTTAAAACTTTCCAGCCTCACTTTTCTGAACTGAAAAAGGGGATTTCTTACAGGCTTATTATTAGAATTAAAGGTAATTAATACCAAGTGCCGATATGAAATAGGTATTCAGTAAATTATGTTTATTGCATTAGTGCTATATTCTAGGTTTCAGTCTAGAATATAGTAACTCATGTAATGAATACTTTGTTATCCAGGTTTTTTCAATATTTAATAAGCATAGCAATTTAGCAGTCCATTCTACTTGTACAATTTATAGGAATATTTTTATTTGGGCTTCAGTTTTATATCTGTGGTTTTCTGTGAGGATTTCTACAGTTTCGTAAAGGAGACTTGGAGACTTGCATCCTTGCATCTCAAATCCAGGGCCTTCAAAGTTGCCCAGAGACGAGCCGCGTAGCCGAGACAGACGCTGGAGGTCCCAGGATGGTGGGGCTCCTACTGTGTTGCCTTGGAGGGAGCGTCTTCTACTCCCCATCGAGTAATAGGCTTTATTTTCTTTTATGTTTATTTATTTTGAGAGAGGGCACGCGCATACATGAGCAGGGGAGGGGCAGAGAGGGTGGGAGAGAGAATCTCACACAGGCTCCGTGCTGTCAGTGTGAAGCCCAACTCAGGGCTCAAACTCAGGAACCAGGAAATCATGACCTGAGCTGAAATCAAGACGCCGAACTGACTGAGCTACCCAGGCGCCCCTGATTAATATGCTTTTTATTTTTTTATTTTTTTAATTTTTTTTTTTTAATGTTTTATTTATTTCTAGGGGAGAGAGAGAGACAGCGTGAGCAGGGGAGGGTCAGAGAGAGAGGGAGTCACAGACTGAAACAGGCTCCAGGCTCTGAGCTGGCAGTCAGCACAGAGCCCGACGCGGGGCTCGAACCCACGAACCGCGAGATCATGACCCGAGCGAAAGTCGGACGCTTAACCGACTACGCCACCCGGGCGCCCCTGTCCATTTTTCAATTATAGTAAAGTTCGTGTTTTCCTTTCTCTCCGTCTGGCTTTTTCTTTAATCTTTATACATGTTTATGAATTCCTTGAGAGAACTTGTACACAACCTATCCTGCTGTATCTAAAACATGCTTGTGGGTAATGTCCTAGATGTCGCTCTAGAAACATCGGCCTTTTTGACAGTGGAAAGATCTCTTCCATAATGGTCGAGAAGCATCATGACACAGTGGGAGACGTGTGGGTTTGGGAGTCAGGCAAAACTGGATAAAAAAAAAAAATCCAGTTTCACTAGTTATTTTCTTTGTCACCTCAGAGGGATTGCATGGTATTCTAATTCCTAACTTCTTCATCTGAAAAACGGGGCATGATGCCATCTTGGGCTAAGGTGTCACACGGGATGAAAAGCTGTACGGAACTGCAAAGTTAGATATTCAGTAGAGTTGGGTAATAAATACTCTTGCAACTTCTTCACTGAGACTGGAATAAAACCGTGAATATGAGATTCTAAATATCTTTTTTTTCCCCTAGGAATACGGGGTGCTTTGCCTTCAGGAATACAGAAAAAATAGCAAAGTGGAGTCAAGCACACACAACAGCTTCATGGGCTTGAAGGATCATCTGGGGCATGACCTAGGCCACCTTTATGTGGAGAGCACTGACCCACATTTAAGTACATCTGTACCTTGGTCAATGGTGGAAAAGCCAACAATGGATAAAGTTAATTCCGGGAAGGAAGAGAAAGAGGTGTCTGAAGAGAATGTGAGCTCTGGTGACTCTGAAGAAAGCACAAATTCTGATAATGAATCAGAACAATCGAGAAGCATTTCAGTAGAGCCATGCTTATTAACCAAGACTCACAGACAACTGTGTAGGTCTCCCTGCTTAGAGCCTCATCTACTCAAACGCAGTGACATTTTGCAAGACTTTAAACCTGAGGAGTCCCAGACTACCTCCAAGGAAGTGAAGAACCCCCCCGATGTGTTGCGAGAATACCAAACAAAACTCGAGTTTGCACTTAAGTTAGGCTATTCTGAAGAACAGGTTCAGCTTGTGCTCAATAAACTTGGTACCGATGCTTTAATCAATGACATCTTAGGCGAGCTCGTCAAGCTTGGAAACAAAAGTGATGCTGAACAGACGGTTAGCACGGTTAGCAGTCTGACGCGGGAGACGCCTTCCCTGGAGTCTCAGCGCTCGGACTCTCCGATGCAAGAGCTCGTAGCGGATGACGGGGAGAACCTGAGGCCGGTAGTCATTGATGGCAGCAACGTGGCCATGAGGTGAGTGCGGAAGTTTGCTGGGTATGGCCAGACCATCTTTGAAAGGTGCTTCTAGTGTCGTGACCATTTCTCTTCTAATAGTCACTGAAGTCAAGATTATTCTGCATGCTGACATTAGCTTAAGTATTTTTTTTATTTAAAAAAAATGTTCTTAATGTTTTTCTTTTTGAGAGAGAGAGGGAGACACAGAATCCTAAGCAGGCTCCAGGCTCTGAGCTGTCAGCACAGAGCCTGACACGGGGCTCGAACTTGTGAACCACAAGATCATGACCTAGACTAAGGTCGGCCGCTCAACCGACTGAGGCACCAGGTGCTCCTAGCTTACGTATTTCTAATGATATCTCTTTTACTTGTCTTCCTCCCCACTGCCAGGGGGCTCTGCCGGTCTTCCTCGCATTCATCCTTACATACAGACCGTCTTTCCCCAGAAGCCTGTCTTTTGTTCCTCATCCAACTAAATTAGTGTGGCATAAAAATCTGTGTATTCCTGGTTGAGTGTTGACCATTCGTTTTCAATGAAGAACATGGCTATGTTAATACTCAACAATTTTGGAATCTATTCAGATAAATAGTCTGTTTCTAGGTGAAGTCACATAACCATAGAAGAAAACACCAGGTCTTTGAGCAAACTGTTTATATTGATTTGGGAACAAATCAAAGTAGGGGTTTCACATTTTTTTGTTTCATTTAAGAAATGCAAATTCAAAAATAATTCCTTAGGCACTGGGGATAAAAACAATAAAAGCAAGGGGTGCTTGGGTGGCTTAGTCGGTTAAGCGTCCGACTTCGGCTCAGGTCATGATCTTATGGTTTGTGGGTTCGAGCCCCGTGTCGGGCTCTGTGCCCGACAGCTAGGTCAGAGCCTGGAGCCTGCTTCGGATTCTGTGTCTCCCTCTCTCTCTGACCCTCCTGTGCTCACGCTGTGTCTCTCTCTCAGAAATAAACATTAAAAAATAAAAAAATAAAAGCAAAACTTCTAATGAAATTCTTTCTACGAATTTGAACTCAAAATTTTAAGTGCACCTAAATTCAGTTAGTATTCATTAATTACCCCAGATGTTCAAAACAGTATGAGGGATATAAAGATATGAAAAGGCACTGATTCTTTCAGAGAGCTTAGAATTTTATATACTGTTGCTTAAAAAGTGATCTGAGGATACCTAGCACATCCTGAAGCAGTGCTGTTCAATGGAAATGCAACCTGAGGCGTTTGCATCATTTAAAATTTCCTGGTACCTACATTAAGAAGTTAAACAGGTAAAATTAATAAGGATGATATATTTTATCTATGCTTATAGAGCCAAAATATCACTTCAATATGTAATTGATAACAGTATTAATTAGATATTTTGCCTTATTCTTTTGATATTAAGTCTTAAAATTGGGTATCTTACTTACCCCTGCAGCACATCTCCATTCAGACGAGCCTTACTTCAAATGCTCCGTAGCTACCCGCAGCTAGTGGCCACCATATTGGACAGTGTATTTCTAGACACGTACGAGCTCTCCACACAGACTGACCAAGTCCAGACCCAGGGGTCGCTCATGCATCTCCTTATGTAACGAGCAACCCAGCTAATAAGAATGTGTACTGACGTTTGAGAACCACTGTTTTTAGTGTGAGAGTGAGGACTCTACACAGAGTATGAGAAGGACCAACTTGTCATCCTCAAAGTAACCTTTTCAGGAAGTATTCTTTCCTTCATTTATAAGCAAATGGGACTTGGAGGATTTGAATTGCTCCTCCAAGATAAAGCATAGTTCAAACCCAAATATGCCTGACTTCAAAGTGTGTACACTTTTTAGCAGAAAAAGAGATGAACAAGGTGAAAAGTTCAAGCCAGACCTTATAAGGTCTTGAGTGCCAAGCTAGAGAATTTAAACTTGACTCTAATCCAAAGATAATTGAAGTTTTTTGAGAAGAGGACTGTAAGTGTACAGTTGTGCATTATGCTGATAATCTAGCAGTGATGTTTACAGTGGATTATAGGGGCACCTGGTGGCTCAGTTGGTTAAGCATCCAACTTCAGTCTCTTCTCAGCCTATTGGCTAAGGTCAGGTATAGCAGCCAACTTCAGCTCAGGTCATGATCTTGTGGTTCATGAGTTGAAGCTCTGTTCTGGGCCCTGCGCTGACAACACAGAACCTGCTTGGGATTCTCGCCCTCTTGCTATCTCTCTGCCCTTCCCTGATTCCCACTTTCTCTCTCTCTTAAATAACCAAACTTGGGGAAAAATGAAAGTGGATTATAGGAGGTACATCCGTTTGGATGCAAACAACACTTTCTAATGGAATAAAGAAGGCCTGAGGTGGCATAGAAGTGTGAAGTGTACGTATGGCCTTGAGAAGTCTTTCAGTAAAATAACCTCTCTGTTATTTAATCTTTCCCAAACTTAGTCACAGCATGTTTTTTTTCCTTGTAATAATCCAGAACTACTGAACGGTTACCTTCACAGAGTGATCATTTGTAAGGTCAAAACATCATGAAATTCCAGGGGGGAGAGTAATGAGGGAAGGTTCTGGAGGGGCACCTGTAATATAGTCCGATATCAGAATCACCAGGGCAAGTCTTGGGTTCTACACTTGGAGAATCTGAATCAACAGGGCTATGGCTGAGCCCACATAATCATATATTCTTTAAGGGCAAGGGTATTTCAGATGTATAGCCAGTGTCAGAAATCATTCCGCATGAAATGTGCACATTTACAGATCAGGAAGCAAAAGAAAGTGATGGTTCAGGGAAAGAGTAGTGTGAAAAATACAAGAGTTAGAAAAAAGTAAAGTGCTAAAAAAAAAAACCCCAAGGACATACAAATGCCATCAAACTCGAAGAAGAGCAGGCTTTTAGGAGAGACTACCCTGTGGGTGGTACTGACACAAGATGAGAGGCCACGACAGCCAGGAGGTCACTGTCGGCAGGAATGCCACGTGGCATGGAAGACAGAAGCCCGCTTACCGGGACGGCAAGAAGGGAAGGAATGGGGGTGCCTGGCTGGCTCAGTCAGTACAGCAGGCCACTCTTGATCTCACGGTTGTGACCGAGCCCACCAGTGGGCGTAGAGCCTGCTTTAAATAAGAGGAAGAAAAAATGAGGAACTAGAGCTGGACCAGTATTGTAGAACGTTGACAGAGGAAGGAATGTTGGGGCAGGATTTTGTTTAGTTTTTGGTTTAAGAATGAACCTAAATACGAGGGGGTGTGGGGAATAGTCTCCACAGCAGGCAAAGACCGTAGGGAAGCCTGGGACGGTTCAGCGTTGGAACCGCAGTCCTGAAGGAGCAAACGAGAAAGGCCCGGGTGGACTCTGTGGTGGTGGAGGTGAACGACTTTTGGAGAGGCGCAAAGGGCAGGAGATTTACAAGCCCTGGAGCCCACAGAAGTGAATTTCTGAGGGGGACGTCCTTTAGATAACTGATGTCACCGTCGGGTCAGCCTCACATCAACTCCTACGACCCAAACCTGTTCCCAATGGAAATGAAAGGTACTTGGATAATGGAAAATTTACATAAGACTCTAAACTTCACTTCTCCCACATGGTGAAAATCATCCAGAGGAAAACTGGCTCAAAAATAGATGGCATAATGAAGGCATTTGAACAATCTATTCTTACATAATTATGAAAACAAACGTCTCCCCCCACACCCTTTTGGCCCCGCCCTGTTTCCCTGGCTGGGAAGATAGGAGAGTGCAGATTCGGTTCTCCTCTCCATCATATGTTTTAATCTGACACTTAAACCAAAGTGCTTGAGGCATTTCAGGACAGAACAGGTCGGCAGGAAATTTTTATTATAGCAGAATTATACTGTCAGTCACAATAAAATGTTGTACCACATCCATAACTTTGAAAGTGCCAGAACTCATGAAAATTCATAGTAAACTTTTGTATTCTGCCATTTATAAGATCTACATAAAGTAAAAAAAAAAAAAAAGTCATTTAAAAATACATATCTACTTCAGATTCATAATCTTAATTTAACAGAAATGCAGACAGATTTCATCCATTTCATGTCTCATAAAATAAACTTTTTACTTTTCAAATTAATTTCCCACTCATAAGCAAACCTATTATATAATATTTGTACACAAAATAAGAAGTAAATACAAGCATGAGTTAAGAATAGAGTACTATTTTATCTTCTTTCTGATCTCTCAGGCTGAATTATTCCATATATAAGATGAGTATATTTTGGTTTCATTTAAATGCTAGTATAGAAGTGATAGAAAATGATTCTTTAAATTAGATATTAAAAGGGGCGCCTGGGTGGCTTAGTCGGTTAAGCGTCTGACTTTTGCTTAGGTCACGATCTCGCGGTTCGTGGGTTCGAGCCCCGCGTCGGGCTCTGTGCTGACTGCCAGCTCAGAGCCTGGAGCCTGTTTCAGTCTGTGACTCCCTCTCTCTCTCTGACTCTCCCCTGCTCACGTTGTCTCTCTCTCTCTCTCTCCTAGAAGTGAATAAAACATTTAAAAAATAATAATAAATTAGATATTAAAGGTAGGAAAGCAAGGGTACTTTTATTAAAACTACCAAAGTAGACTTCTAAAAAAATTAGTTCTTGGGTGCCTGGGTGGCTCAGTGGGTTGAGTGTCTGACCTGGGCTCAGGTCATGATCTTATAGTTTATGGGTTTGAGCCCTGTGTTGGGCTCTGTGCTGATGGCTCAGGGCCTGGAGCCTGCTTCAAATTGTTTGTCTCCCTCTCTCTCTGCCCCTTCTTCGCACATGCGCCCTCTCCCCCTCCCCCCACTTGCTCTCTCAAAAACATTTAAAAAAATGTTTAAATTAGTTCTTTATATACCACCTTTGTGATTCTGAATTGTTAAAACTTTCCAGCCTCACTTTTCTGAACTGAAAAAGGGGATTTCTTACAGGCTTATTATTAGAATTAAAGGTAATTAATACCAAGTGCCGATATGAAATAGGTATTCAGTAAATTATGTTTATTGCATTAGTGCTATATTCTAGGTTTCAGTCTAGAATATAGTAACTCATGTAATGAATACTTTGTTATCCAGGTTTTTTCAATATTTAATAAGCATAGCAATTTAGCAGTCCATTCTACTTGTACAATTTATAGGAATATTTTTATTTGGGCTTCAGTTTTATATCTGTGGTTTTCTGTGAGGATTTCTACAGTTTCGTAAAGGAGACTTGGAGACTTGCATCCTTGCATCTCAAATCCAGGGCCTTCAAAGTTGCCCAGAGACGAGCCGCGTAGCCGAGACAGACGCTGGAGGTCCCAGGATGGTGGGGCTCCTACTGTGTTGCCTTGGAGGGAGCGTCTTCTACTCCCCATCGAGTAATAGGCTTTATTTTCTTTTATGTTTATTTATTTTGAGAGAGGGCACGCGCATACATGAGCAGGGGAGGGGCAGAGAGGGTGGGAGAGAGAATCTCACACAGGCTCCGTGCTGTCAGTGTGAAGCCCAACTCAGGGCTCAAACTCAGGAACCAGGAAATCATGACCTGAGCTGAAATCAAGACGCCGAACTGACTGAGCTACCCAGGCGCCCCTGATTAATATGCTTTTTATTTTTTTATTTTTTTAATTTTTTTTTTTTAATGTTTTATTTATTTCTAGGGGAGAGAGAGAGAGAGAGACAGCGTGAGCAGGGGAGGGTCAGAGAGAGAGGGAGTCACAGACTGAAACAGGCTCCAGGCTCTGAGCTGGCAGTCAGCACAGAGCCCGACGCGGGGCCCGAACCCACGAACCGCGAGATCATGACCTAAGCGAAAGTCGGACGCTTAACCAACTAAGCCACCCAGGCGCCCTTTAATATGCTTTTTAAAATGTGCCACATTCATAGAAGCTCTGGGTACATTACATTTCACTCAAAATTGACAGTTACCCAGAACTTAGTCCAGCACAATTTGTGATACCTTTTTCAGTGCTAAGTATATGGAGGACAAAAGTATAGTAAAGTAGAAGGTGAACTAAGTTTGGAGAAAGCCCTAAACTTTTGCATATAAATATTAAGAATTCGAAACCTGTTTGGTTTCTGAAATATGAAACAGAATGAAATTTATATTGAGTGGAGCTGGACTAACAAATCCTGACAAAAAGTGCAGCTGGTTTTAATTCCTTAAAAAAAAAAAAAAAAATCTCTCTCAGTAATTTAGCAAATTGGTCATTCGACCTATAGGCCTCTCTCCTTAATGGGACAGATACTTGATAATGTAGATATTCCATGAAATGTATGCCTCAGATATTAATATTTATCATATTTCTGAAGTGAAATTCTTAGGATACTGTGATTTTCATTTTCTCCAAGTAGCCTTATAATTTTTCAAACTCTGTGATTCCATTAAACTGAAGGTAGTTCAGCAGTGGAGTATTGAATTCGTCTCAGTCCACATGTATCCAATAGTTTAAACTTACATTTTTCTGTAAATACATCCAGTGCTCTTTTATTTTACCTGTAGCTGAAGTTACCAGATGACCGGTCAGGTCATTAACAACGTACAGTCCTGAGCCATCAGGGATGGGAGTGTGATAACTTGGGTGTCAGTGCAATCGGATTACTGAGATTCCTTGATTTCTTTTTTATTGAGGTATAACTCACAGACCATGTTTTATTGGTTTCAGGTGTACAACGTATCAATCTGACAATTCTGTAGATTCAGTGTGCACTGTGATGAGTGGAGTCACCGTGTAACACTAGAACAGTAATATTGACTGTTACTCCCTGTGGTCTGTCTGTCATCTCCATGACTTACTTACCTTCTGTCTGGAAGTTTGTGCCTCTGATTCCCCTTACTATTGCACCCACGCCCCACCAGCTTTCCCAGCGGCAGCCACTAGTTTGTTCTCTATGTTTAAGTGTGTTTTTTTCCTCTCTTGTTGTTTGCTCATTTGTTTTGTTTCTTAGATTCCACATAGAAGGGAAGCCATAGAGTTTTTCCTATTGTCTTTCTCAGCCTGATCTGTGTCCCTTAGCCTGGTACTCTCTAAGTCCATCCCTGTTGTCACAAATGGCAAGATGTCACTCTTTTTTATGACCAATATTCTTTGTGTGTGTGTGTGTGTGTGTGTGTGTGTGTATAACTGTGTCTTCTTTATCCATTTAACTATAGATGGAACACGAGATTGCTTCCTTATCTTGGCTATTGGACATAATGCCGCAGTAAATATAGGGGTGCATATGTCTTTTTGAATTAGCATTTTCCCTTTCTTTGGGTAAATACCTAGTAGCAGAATTACTGCATCATGTAGTGTTTCTTTTTTTAATTTATTGAGGAAATCTCTCTGCTGTTTTTCACAGTGGGGGCACCAGTTTGCATTCCCACCAGCAGTGCACGAGGGTTCCCTTCTCTCTACACACTTGCTAGTGTGGTTTTTTGGTGTTGAGTTGTATGAATTCTTTAGATATTTTGGATATAACCCTTATCAGTTATATCATTTGCAAATATCTTCCCCCATTCAATAGGATGCCTTTTCATTTTGTTCATTTCCTATGTGCAAAAACTTATTTTGGTGTACTTGCAATAGCTTATTTTTGCTTCTGTTTCCCTTGCCTAAGAAGACATATCTAGAAAAATGTTTCCATAGTTGATGTCAAAAAAAGTATTGCCTTTGTTTTCTTCTAGGAGTTTTGTGGTTTCAGGTCTTAAATTTAGGTCTTTAATCCATTTTGAGGGTTTTTTTTGTGGAAAGAAATATTTACTTTGGAAATAATTTATTTAGAAATACATATTTTGGAGTAAGAAAGTGGTCCAATTTCCTTCTTTTGCATTTAGCTCTCCAGTTTTCCCAGCACCATTTATTGAAGGGACTGTCTTTTCCCCAGTGTATATTCTTCTCTCCTTTGTCATAGATTAACTGACCCTATGGGTGTAGGTTTATTTCTGGGACCTCTAGCCTGTTACATTGATCTAAGTGTTTATGTGCCAGTATCATACTGTTTTGATTCATAGAGCCTTGCAGTATATCTTGAAATCTGGAATTGTGATATTTCCAGCTGTTCTTCTTTTTCAAGATTGATTCTGCCACTCAGATTCTTTTGTGGTTCTGTACAGATTTTAGGACTATTCTAGTTTTGTGAAAAATGCTACTGGTTTTTGATAGGGACTGCGTTGAATCTATAGATAGCTTTGGATAGTATGGACATTTTAGCAATATTCTTCAAATCCATAAACATGGTATATCTATCCATTTGAATCGTCTATAATTTATTTATTTATTTATTTATTTATTTAATATTTTTATTTTATCTCTAGGAGAGAGAGAGAGAGAGACAGCGTGAGCAGGGGAGGGTCAGAGAGAGAGGGAGATAGAGACTCCGAAACAGGCTCCAGGCTCTGTGCTGGCAGTCAGCACAGAGCCCGATGCGGGGCTCAAACCCACGAACTGCGAGATCATGACCTAAGTGAAAGTCGGACGCCCAACCGGCTAAGCCACCCAGGCGCCCCTATAATTTTTTTTTTAAATCAATGTCTTCTAGTTTTGTCAGGATAGGTCTTTCA